TCAGGAATATTTGAAAATATAGAAGTATCCAAATTAGAGTCATTGCTGCTCGAACAGATGCCAAACAATTGGTTGGCGATCAGCACCAATTTAAGAAGAATCAAAGAATTAGAAATAAATGGATCCATTAGTTTCATTCCTTCGAAAAAACTTACAGAAATCCACTATGCTGGAGATGTCCCCGTTGCTGATTGGGAATTCATAGTGAGACATCCAGTCAGGACACTCGGTTTCAACCCAGCAGACGGAGGACAACACGTGCCATCGGAATATATGCTTTGGATTGGGAAAATGTGGAACCTAAGAACTCTACGGATAGGTAGAAGTACATTTACCCTTGAAAATGATGAATGGGTACCACAAGTCTCTGTTAATCCCACTTTAGAGTAGGTTTTCTAATTAGATAAATAGCTTAATATAATTTGTTCGTATATAAATGTAAAAAATGAGATCAGAATCTTCCACATCTTTTGCAAATCCGATTCCAGTTGGTGATTTAACTATAAAACAGTTGAATAAGAGTTTAGATACAACGTTTCATAGTCAATTACTTGATTGAAAGCATAAACGTGTTGGAATAGTGAAGTCGTGTAATTGATTACAATTTCCGGTTTTCGGAGTGTATGTAAGAATGAAGTCACTCAGGGTGTGAGGGATTGTCTCTCATCCAACCAAAAAAAGGCATTGACTGAAATCGCCGATTTTTCAACAAAAGTTGCAACAGTTTAATAAAACCACACCCACACACTTCACGCACACACACAATGGCTGCTGCATACACCGTCTTTGGAAAACAAATTCCTGCTCATATCGTATGTGCACACAAATAAATCAATTGATTTTTCAGTGGCTCGTCTCCAAACATATACTAACATTTCTTGCTCTATAGCTTTCAATTGCTACTTTAGCTTCTGTTGCTGGTATTGGTATCTGGCTGTCTATGGGTTCCAAAGCTGAACCATCTAAAGTTCCAGCTGCTGCTCCTGTTGCCCAATCGAAAGAAGCAGACTTTGATTTGGAAAAATTCATTAAGTATGTATTTCAAATAATTATCAGGAAGGGGGGGAAATTTAATACTAACATATTTATAATTATAGCGATTTAACTAAAGAAGAAACCAAATAAGCATTTTTCTGTTAGTTTTTATAGCATTTATTTAAAAAATACAATTTTCATTATCTTATAGAAAAGAATGGTATGTTTGGCACATTCATTTAATATTGTCTTTTAATATTGCTCCTATGAATTCTATCAACAAGCATAAGTTCCCAAAAGAGGTGACGAATTTTAACCATGAATGAGAAGGAATGTTTGGGTTCAATCATCAGATTAAAGGTTTCTTGAAAACCAATACCTACTTTTTAGATTCTATCCCAATGCAATCAATCTGGCTTTGTATCTCCCATCATCTTTAATTGTTAGTGCCGCATTGTCTGTCAATATTGTTTATTATGGATTTCTTTCATTATTAGTAAATGGGTATTCGCAATCAGGGATGATGGCAGGTATAAATCGGGATTGATTACATTGGTAAAGAAGGAAATTGCGAATAAAAGATACTTTTGGTCAGGTGATTTGAAGTTATAATGTTCGAAATAGGTTGATTTTCTTGTATATGATACCCATTGCTACTTCCAGAAAATGAGTATCAAATACCGTATCAAATTTGGTAGTCAATACTCTTATCTTAGGATGAATTCGTATATTCTTATTGATCATTTGTAGGTCTCTTACAGATAAGTTAAGCCCCAATAGAGAAGGCAACCTCGGAGTGAAGCAACCCTCTGAAGCTCCATAACCTATTCAACTGAAGTCTCTTATTGGGCCGGTTATTAACATGCTACCTTGTTATAGAAAATGGGTCCATTATACCCAATTGTTTCAGAGTATATCACGACTTGGCAACATGAAAATGCATTTCATTGTCCCACATTTCTAATTGGGAATTATTGCAGCCAAAAACAGAAATCAAGGCAGGGGTGGGAGAGAATCCTCGTGGTGATAACACCGAATTGTGTTGCAACTTTATTTCGGTTTTAGGGCTTTCCGACATATTTCTTGGAAGAAACTTACTTTATTAGAATTAGTTAACTTCATAGTATAGATCCCACAGTGTGATCTAACTTATTCCAAGTGGCTCAGATATAAATACATTCACGTGGACATACAATCCCCCTCGTCCCCCTGGTTTTAACTCAATTATAAAAGTCCAAGCCATCAAATCAAAGTACATGTCCGAAGTACGGGTGTGATTTTTCTTGTTGACATATTTCGGCAATCGGATTTTACAAACCAGATTTCCCAAATAAGTCAAGTTGAAAATATTTGTTTCCCCATTAGGTCAATCCCGGTCTTAACGTCAATCTCCTTGTTATTTCATAAATTGATTTCTTAAACTAGCGCGTGTGGTGGCTAATACATACAAGTAAAAAGGCTACAAAGTCGCGTGTATTAAAAGAAATCTGTAAACAAACGCGGTTTGCTATATGCAGTCTTGATGTTTTTTTTTTTTGTGATTCAATTTTTAATTTTTTTTTTTATTTCCCATCGAATTTTTCCATCTGCCCTCTTTTTGCAACGCGTTGTAAAGTTTTACATTAAAATATAAACACGTCTGATTTCCCACTTTTTTTTTTCTTTTCCATTCTTCTTACTTTTTCCTTTTCTTTCTTAATTTTCTTATTCATACAAAGCAAACTAACAATAATCAATCATGTATGTTTATAAAAGAGACGGACGTAAAGAACCTGTTCGTTTTGATAAAATCACTGCCAGAGTTCAAAGATTATGTTACGGTTTAGATCCAAATCATGTTGATGCTGTTGCTATTACCCAAAGAGTTATCTCAGGGGTTTATCATGGTGTTACTACTGTTGAATTAGACAACTTGGCTGCTGAAACCGCTGCTTATATGACTACTATTCATCCAGATTATGCTATTTTAGCTGCTAGAATTGCTGTTTCTAATTTACATAAACAAACTACAAAACAATATTCTCAAGTTAGTAAAGAATTATATGAATATGTTAATCCAAAAACTGGATTACATTCTCCTATGATTTCTAAAGAAACTTATGATATTATTTGTGAACATTGTGATGAATTAAATTCGGCAATTGTTTATGATCGTGATTTTAATTATAATTATTTTGGTTTTAAAACTTTAGAAAGATCTTATTTATTAAGGGTTAATGGTAAAGTTGCTGAAAGACCACAACATTTAATCATGAGAGTTGCTATTGGTATTCATGGTAGAGATATTCCAAGAGTTATTGAATCTTATAATTTAATGTCTCAAAAATATTTCACTCATGGTTCCCCAACTTTATTTAATGCCGGTACTCCAAATCCTCAAATGTCTTCTTGTTTCTTAGTTGCTATGAAAGAAGATTCCATTGATGGTATTTACGATACTTTAAAAACTTGTGCTTTAATCTCAAAGAGTGCTGGTGGTATTGGTTTACATATCCATAATATTCGTGCTACTGGTGCTTATATTGCTGGTACTAATGGTACTTCCAATGGTATTATTCCAATGGTTCGTGTTTTTAACAATACTGCTCGTTATGTTGATCAAGGTGGTAACAAAAGACCTGGTGCTTTTGCCCTTTATTTAGAACCTTGGCATGCTGATATTTTTGATTTTATTGATATTAGAAAAAATCAAGGTAAAGAAGAAATAAGAGCTAGAGATTTATTCCCAGCATTATGGATTCCTGATTTATTCATGAAAAGAGTTGAACAAAATGGTGAATGGACTTTATTTAGTCCAAATGAAGCTCCTGGATTACCTGATGTTTATGGTGATGAATTTGAAGAATTATATGAAAGATATGAAAGAGAAGGTAGAGGTAGACAAACTGTTAAAGCTCAAAAATTATGGTATTCTATCTTGGAAGCACAAACTGAAACTGGTACTCCATTTATGTTATATAAAGATGCTTGTAATAGAAAATCTAATCAAAAGAATTTAGGTATGATTAAATCTTCTAATTTATGTTGTGAAATTGTTGAATATTCTTCTCCAGAAGAAGTTGCTGTTTGTAATTTAGCTTCAATTGCTTTACCTTCATTTATTGAAAAGAATGATGATCATGCTTGGTATAATTTTGATAAATTACATGAAGTTACAAAAGTTGTTACTCGTAATTTAAATAAAGTTATTGATCGTAATTATTATCCAGTTCCAGAAGCTAAGACTTCCAATATGAAGAATAGACCAATTGCTTTAGGTGTACAAGGTTTAGCTGATGCATTCATGGCATTAAGAGTACCATTTGATTCTCAAGAAGCCAGAGAATTAAATATTCAAATCTTTGAAACTATCTATCATGCTGCTGTTGAAACTTCAATTGAATTAGCACAAGAAGAAGGTGCATATGAAACATATCAAGGATCTCCAGCTTCTCAAGGATTATTACAATTTGATTTATGGGATAGAAAACCAACTGAATTATGGGATTGGGATTTATTAAAACAAAATATGGTAAAACATGGATTAAGAAATTCATTATTAGTTGCACCAATGCCAACTGCTTCTACCTCGCAAATTTTGGGTAATAATGAATGTTTCGAACCATATACTTCCAATATTTATTCTAGAAGAGTACTTGCTGGTGAATTCCAAATTGTTAATCCATTCTTATTAAGAGATTTGGTTGATTTAGGTATTTGGAATGAAGCTGTTAAGAGTAGTATTATTTCCAATAATGGTTCTATTCAATCATTACCAAATATCCCAGATTCATTGAAAGCCTTATATAAGACCGTTTGGGAAATTTCTCAAAAACATATCATTGATATGGCTGCTGATAGAGCTGCTTTTATTGATCAATCACAATCATTGAATATTCATATTAAAGATCCAACAATGGGTAAATTAACCAGTATGCATTTCTATGGATGGAAGAAGGGGTTAAAGACTGGTATGTATTATTTAAGAACACAAGCTGCTTCTGCTGCTATTCAATTCACAATTGATAAAGAATTAGTTCAAACTGCTGGTAATGCCGTTGCTTCTTTAGACAAATTAAATAAGAGAAAATATGTTTCTAAAATTCCATCATCTGATAGTTCAAGATCTGCTTCTACTGAACCAACTTCTATAGAATCTTCTTTTGCTGATTTGAATATTAGAGAACAAGCTCCAAAGACTGCTGTTGTTGAAGATGAAAAGCCAGTTGAAGAAAAGACAATTGAAGAAATTGAAAATGATATCTATAGTGCTAAAGTAATTGCATGTGCTATTGATAATCCAGAATCATGTACCATGTGTTCTGGTTAATCACATAGTTAATTGATTGTTGCTTTTTGTTTTATACATAAAATATTTTATAGTTCTCTTTTGGGTAGTTTGATTTTGTATTTTACTATTTGTTTTAATATCATTATATTGTTTTAGAAAAAGTTATTAAGTTTGTCAGGTTTATATAACCGATATCGGTATAATGCCTCGCGCGATAAGACGTTTTATTCGGCTTTAAAATGTCGTAAGAGTAGTTACGAAAAGAAAAAATAAAATTATTAAAGTTTTTACAAATTTCATTTCTCTCTTTATCTTTCTTCTTCTTCTAGAATAAGTTTTAGTTAAAAAGCCCCACTTGGTATCTAGTTAGTGTTACAGTTTCACATCCCTTAAATGTCATTTCATTCTCCTTTAATATTAAACCAGGAAGAAGAAGTTGATCCAAATTCAATACCTTTAAATACGCTACCATCTAGGAAATCATCTACCTCGTCATCAGATAGTATGAACTCAGAAGATCTCACTTCCGAAGCTTCCAGAGATTTTTTCAGCCACACTACCAATCACCGTAGTAGGATACACCAATTTTTTAATGCAATATGGTATGGACCACAAGAACCAATAGATGATCCGGCTCCACGGATACATTGTTTAGAGTCATTAGAAGAGTTCCCCGATAGTTTAAAAAGACGTATTCCATTACCTTTAACAAGAGCTCTATTGGTATTATATTTAATCTTTTGGTTTGGATTGAATTATAGTATAATTATACCATATTTAACAAAACCTCCCTATATTACTGCCAATCCAGATATTCCCATTGTATCACTTTCATGTGGAGCCCTGTATCAATTCTGGAAAGGTAAGAATGGAGCATGTGGATTAGATTCACAATGTCCTGAAGTTGAATCGGAATCGGATGTGATTTTTAGATGTCCAGCTTTATGTGATCAGAGTAAAACTTATTCATTTATGCCGGTTGGTGATATGAATATTAAATATAGAGGATATTTCATAGGTGGAGGTGCTGTCACTGATCAACATGAATTGTTACATCCTGATCAATTAACAAATCCATATAGGGCAGATTCATATCCTTGTGGATCGGCAGTACATGCTGGTTTAGTATCTCCTTTCTTTGGCGGTTGTGCCAGGATTTCTTATGATAGTAAAAGCAAAAGTTATTTTCCGGCTGCAAAAGGTAAATATGGTGTCGGTGATTCTATTGAATTTTTATCATTTTTTAAATCTTCATTTTATTTCAAAACTTTAAAAAGTGGATTAACTGGAGATTCTAGTTTTGTTAATTGTTATGATCCAAGACTTTTAGTATTGGCTGTGAATGTTATTTTAGGAATACCTATTGTTTATTTATGTTCAGGAAAAGTAACATATTGGACTATAAGTACAGTCGGATTCTGGACTAGTGTATTAACCACAGATCCACCTGTCACTGTTGATCCTCGAGATCCTGAAGATTTCGCATATTTATTATCAGTAGGATTTGAACGATTTTTACCAACTTGTTTTATATTATATGTATTATGGAGAATTTCCGTCAAAGTCACATTATCAGAATCAACCGAATTCAAGATCTCCCCCTTGAGCAGAGTATTATTATGGTATCCATTATTCTGGATTGGATTATTAAATAATATGACATTTGATAGATTACCCGTTGACAGATTTACAATCAGTGATTTACAACAACAAGCAGGTGCAATATTCGCAGTTGGATTCATAATCTCCTTAATATCAATCTGTGCCATAATTCAAGCATATAAAATCTGGCTAGCCGGTAAATTCCGCCGATATCTCGTCATCTACATTATCCTAATCCTCCTGCTTGTCTTCCTTGGATCCTTGTCTGGCCTCACCCTTCGTGTCCATCATTATATCCTCGCAATCTTATTAATCCCAGGATGTGCAACCAAAGGAAGAACAGCACTCATGTTTCAAGGTATCTTATTAGGACTATTCATCTCCGGTGTTGCAAGATGGGGAATGGCTTCTATTGTCGAAACTGCATTCGCATTAAAGAGGGATGATCCAAAGGGAAAGATCATCCCGCCCCAAATAATGGGATATCATAACGATACCGGCATCTTGAATTGGAAATCAATCCCAGACCCTATAGCCTCCCCAGTCGATGGACAATTGTATAAGCGATATAGTTCAGTCTCGATTCTCATTAATGATATTGAACAATATGTCGGCAATGCTATTGATTCAGTCAATTTACGTGTATTATTTGCCAATAGTACAGAGTTATCGGCGCAGATTGAACAGGCAATGAAAGATGGGATTAGAGATGGTGATGGGAATATTTCGATATTTATTAGAATTGGAAGAAAGATTCCGAATAGTGGGAGATATAGTGATTTTTCTCGGGCTATGGTGTTGAAATGGCCCAGTGGGGATTATATTTTGCCAATGGAAGGGTTGACATGAACAGGAGGAAGTGGAAATTTTATAGAGGCTATTTTTTTAGATTTGGTTGAGGTTTATGGTTTAATTAATGTTTTTTTATTTATTATTATGGGTTTCTTTAATTCTTGGTTTTTTGGGCAGGCGAAGGAGTATTCAACATGACTCAATTTGCTCGCAATCTCACTCTGTTCTCTTATACGACATTCCGCGTGCCTTACGTTTCCATATAGCCAATGATGGAAGCCCATTGACGACCATACTAGATTATTTCGGTAGGAAATTTTAACTCGACGCGACCTAACACCCAAAGTGCACGACCGTTAAATATTTTATCCAGTATGCCGACCTACACCTGGTTCAGAATAAATCAGCCGCATCGTACCAAAATTGTTCGGAGGACCGTGGGGAATCCACTCAAAAACCACTAAGAAAAAACAAAGGGTTGGGTTCTTGATAAGAAATTATAAATTAATTATAATTTATTTCTTTCCAATGACAAAATGGAAATCTTACCTCGGTCTTATTGACGACGTTTGCATGCGTCTTGTTGAAAGGACCCTTATTTGGTGACTAGACAATGATTGGTAATAATTGTCTTTTGAATGTTTTGTTAAGCGAAGCAACGAAAAAAATAGAAGGGAACAGTAATTAATTACTATACAATTGTGAAATGAAATTTGTTGGGGGAAGGCAATTCAATTTCTATTTTTCATGTGCCTCAATCCGTTTGTTTCTGCAACAAATTGATTTTAAGCTTTAAGACATTTCTTNTTGCTTTTACAAATTTCCCATACAATCGCACAATTAAGGTTCAAATAAATCATATGATAATTGTAACATCATCTCGATATACAGCTGCTGTTGCTTCTACTGCATCTGCTGTTACGTGTTCACTACGTAGATATGCATTTCCTTATAGAAATAATTCGATTCAACTTCATAATAAGCAATTCATCTCATCTCAATCCAAACAACGACAGCAACCATCACTAAACCCACCAAAACCAAGAATGCGTTGGTATTATGCTGTAGATGTACCCAATTCCAAACCTGATTGGTATAATTATACAAAAACCAAAGATCCCGAGAATTTCATTCCATTCTCCGAAGATGATTCCCATAATCTAGAACGTCATTTCTTAAAGGAACTGAATAAATTAATAGAAGTTAATGAAGATAGGTTATTTCAAGTTGATTTAAATAAATTGGAATTAAGTCCAATCTATTGGGAAGGTCCTACTTATGAAGTACGTAGAGGATTATGGTTTGATCTGGATGGAAGCCCCTACCCTAAAACCATGGCTGATGAATTAGAACAAGGATATCAGAAATTAAAGCCTTATACTTTTGAAGAAATTGAACATGAAACTGAAACTAAAGAGAATAAAGATTTAATTAATGAATTTAATAAATTTAAAGCAGAAATGGAAGAAAGCTTATCAAATATTGATATTGATAAAGAAAAAGATTTAATTAAATTGAAACTGGGAGATTTCGCGGTTTATTTTAATGCAACTCAAGCTGCTATATTCCCGGGAACTTATGATTCAAAATATCAAGTGGATACAATTCGAAAATTTGGAGAGAATCCAGTTTCATTATTAGGTGTTAAACATATTCAAAGAGGATATACTGATGATTTACAAGAAACCATATTTGATAAATTACCTTCGAATCCCTTACCGGACATTGCTGATTCTTTTCAGGATGAGTTTGGAAATCTATTTAAAACACAAGAGAAGGAAAATAAACTAGAAGAAAATAAAGAAGAAGATGCAAATGAAATTGATGATAAACATATGGAACATTATTTGGAAGCAGATTATGACCTCTCTCCATCCAAATCAACATCAAATCGAGAAATTGATCATTTAGTACTATGTATCCATGGTATTGGGCAAGTATTGGGAAGTAAATATGAATCAATTAATTTCACTCATAATGTAAATGTCTTGAGAAATACCATGAAACGAGTATATGATGAAAATGAAGAATATTCAAAAATAATATATCCCGATCAAGACAAGAAGGATAAAGAAGAATTATCAAATAATAGAATTCAAGTGTTGCCAATTTTCTGGAGACATAAAGTTGATTTCAATCCTCGTGAAAATTTCGAGAAAGAATCTAGACTCCCAACATTATCTCAAATCAATGTAGATGGAATCAAAGCATTACGTAACGTCATTGGAGATGTGATCTTGGATGTATTATTATATTATCAGCCACGATATTTAGAACAAATCCTTACTTCCTCCGCAGCGGAATTGAATCGAGTATATGAGTTATACAAAGAACGAAATCCAAACTTCAATGGAAAAGTCCATATCGTGGCCCATTCCCTTGGATCAGCAATTGCATTTGATTTATTATCCGGTGAAAGTAAAGTCATTGATGGCGAATTACAATTCCTTAATAAACTCAACTTCGACGTCGATGCCTTATTCCTAGTTGGATCCCCAGTAGGGATGTTTAAATTACTCGAAGGGAAAAATATCATAGGAGACCCCACAACCACCTCAACACAACTTTCAACCCACCAATTCGCATCTCCTCAATGTAACAGACTCTATAATGTCTTCCACCCATCTGATCCAGTCTCATATAGAATCGAACCACTAATCTGCCCCTCTTTTGCTCATCTCAAACCCGAAGCAATTCCATTCGCAGTCAGGGGTCTCAATACCCAAATCCAAGATTTGTATAGTTTTGGTGAAAAGATAACCCAGGTGACACAATGGTTTCGAGGGACTAATAAACCAAAACCAGAAAACACTAGGGGAAAAAGTGTTGAAGAAAGAGCAAATAGTGAAAACGCATTAGGTGATATTATATCCAGTGTAGTCATGGCTAAAGAGGATGAAAAACCAGCTGTGAAGCCTCTGAAGAGGGCGTTGAGCTCAGAGGAGTTACGAAAATTGACTTGTTTGAATAGTAATGGAAGAGTGGATTATTGTTTACCTTTGGGAGTATTGGATTTTACATTGGTTTCGGCTGTGAGTGCACATATTACATATTTTGAAAATCAGGATGTGGCTGGGTTTATTATGAAAGAAGTATTATCTCCTCATGATAAACCAGTACAGGAAAAGGTTGTTTATTACAATTAGGGTATTTATAATACAATTTTATAGAAAATCTATTATTATTCAAGTAACAAATCATCAATACTTTGTTCAGCATCATGTTTAATCAACTCCAACATCCCTTCCGGTAAAATTGGATTGCCATTTTCATCCACAATATATCTAAATGGCATCTCAGTACTCTCATATTTATTATACTTAATCTCAGGATAATCCAAAAACTCAATCTCTTCAAACTTCTTCCCACCCTCAATAATCTTCTGAGTAGTCCTAATCGCAGTATCTGTAGTCATCTGTAATTCCCCTAATCTCCTTCCCGCAAACCCATATTTCCTTCTCAAGATCCCCGTCCGGTCAATCTTGGGATGTTGGCCCAATATACCACCAAACACGAAATAATCAAACTTCGCCTTATCTTCAGGCACAAGATCCTCATCAGCCCCAGGATCTAATAAACACACCCTAGTCTTGTCAATTCCACCTTCTTCGATGTCGACACATTCGTCAGTGGTCCATTGGAGGCCCATGTCAAGGAGTTGTTGTGGGATGTCTTTGGAGGTGGTTCCGGCGGGGAGCGAGGTGAGGATGAGGTTTTGTGGGCCGATGTCACGGATTATTTGGGAGTATTCGAGAATAACCCATTCGGAAAAGCCTTCTTCCATGTGTTCTATTATGTATTTCATTGTTGGTGAATTGGAATTGATGAGATGAGGTAGGGGAAGAGAGGATATTGGATAGCAATTATTTTTTTTCAGATGAGGATTTGTGGCGGTAGTTAGAGGTTGCGAAAAATTGAGATTCTTTTATGCAACGTTGCAGTACCTTGATCAGTGGTTAACACTTAAATGTGAAGAATAAACAGGATCAAAGAGAGAAGTATTTTTACATTAAGAAAACATATTCTAATACTCACATTTATTTTGAAAACATTCAGCTACATCATAAATTTACAAACAAATCTAACAAACTAATGACAACAAGAATTATCAGAAAAAGCATATCTAGAAGAAGTATCCTTTTTCAAACAAGCTTCCCCCTTAACACCAGCCTTAACTTCACTGGTAGTACTAGCAAAACTTGGTTTAACATCCAATACCGGATTTTCCCTAAACAAGTTTCTTGGTCTTAATTGTAATTCAAAAATTTCAGTTGGCATAACTGGGAAATCTTCCGGAGCTGGGAAATGAGTAATACCAAAAGTATGGAAAAACACAATATCTGTATTTTCAATAGGAGCATCCATTTCTTCATTAAGCCATTTTCTCATACCTTGAGGTTCATCCCCTGACCATTGAGTTGGGAAATCTCCAGATGGATATAATCTACCATATCCATAGTCGTCATCGGTGTATGGAAGGACTTGGGTAGTATTAACACTCCATGGAGCTCTCTTTCTGACTAATGAACCTTCTTGGGCAAGAACTGGTGGACAGAAGGTTGACCATAATTTATACGTGGCAGGTTTTCCAGAATATGGATGTACTGAGCTAGGGTTAAACATGTCCCAGGTTCTTCCTGTACGTGAATCAAAATCGGTGATTGAATCCTTGACGGTCTTGTAGGTGGTTTTTTCACAGTAGAATCCGTTACCGTATTTGTTTTGAGCAGATCCGGTTGGGTATGGAGATGTTTTTGCGTCACTTGTGGCAGCTGAATTGTTGTCACCGTCTATTCTTGGATGCATTCTTAAGGAGAATAAATGTTGATGATTGTGGGCGTTAACGTTTGGATAGACTTGAGTTCCCCAAGCACCGGTATCTTCATCATCACCACAGATGTAAGTGTTCAAAATACCAGTCAATCTGATTTCTAACTTAATACTACCATCTTGTCTTAAGATCCAATAGATACAATATTCATAATTGGCAGCAGTGAAAATTTGACTAATAATCAACTTCTTACCTCTAGTCGTAACATTAGTTTGGAAATCATCTCTAAAATCAGAATGCTTGAATAAAAGCCCATCGTCTTCTTCGTGAATGCAAACAGCATTACGAACAGTAGTTGGAGCACCCGTACTTTCAACGAAATGAGCATCCAAATAATGAATAACTCCTTTACAGTCACAACCTAAGGATAATGGGTTTGTACAATACCCAGCACCATATTCACCAATATCAAGAGCATGTTTTCTTTGATGAGGGAAGTCGGGACAACCATAAGGAACAATCATTTCCGATAAGGAAATACGATGGAAAAGAGGACGGACTTTCCCATGGTCATTGATAGTAATATCACTCAAAACAATACCTTCACGATAATTAAATCCGATATGGAATTGGAAGTTTTGCCAGTTCATAACATGACCATCCATATTGAATGAAACACCTTCAGGTTGAGTAACATTGATTGGGAAATCATCATTTTGTCTATATCCCGATGGGTTTTGTTTTGTACCAAACTTCTCAGCAATATGTTTTGGATGGAATGAAGAATGGGGATGTCTGGAGACTTTTCTTCTTCTGTCAGGAATATCAATGTGGATAACCTTAAGTTCATTCAAATCAACAACAGGACAGAAATCTAAAGGATGAGAATATTGAGAATCGTCTTCATGTGATCTCCAATACATTAAAGCTTGTTGTAATCTTCTTGAGCCACCCCATCTTTCATCATAACCAATAGTCCAAGCATCACAATAGATTTCGTGCATACGATCAGCGGGAACACCACTAAGAACACATTGTTTAATAACTCCTGGATCCTTTCTAATAACTTCTTCAGTATGACGTAAATCCAGAGGAGTTAACATTGGATGAACACCTTTAACTTGTTTAATCTCAATAAGGGATTGGTTTCTAATATCAGCAATACCTTCTTGAGTACCCTCATCACCTTCAAGAACAATAACAAAATAAGCTAATCTTGGAGGAAAAGCTCCACCTCTTTCTTTCCAATCATAATAGGCACGTTTAATTGGTTCTCTTAAAGTGATAGTATTGAAGTTGACTGATTTACCAGAATATTTGGTTTTAACCAAGTCAGCAACCAACTTAATCTCTTGTGGGGATAAAGGATCTAATGGATGTGAAGGAGTTGGAGTACTTGCAGCAACAGTTGTATTCAAAGCAATTTGAGCTAATCTTTCCATTGCACTTAAAATTAGTTAAAGAATTCTTGTTTTAGTTGGGGGGTTAAGTTCAATTTGAAATGAATCTGAAATGAGATGAGTTCGAGTTCTATTTATAATTATCCTTATCAGTTTCTATTACCCCATAAAAATAAAAGTTTTGAGGAGGGGGAAAATTGGAATTGTATTTACAAATTAAAAAATAAATTTAATTTTCGCAACACCTGAAAAAAAAAAAATATTTTTTAATTTAATTTTTAATTTATTTTATTAAAATGATTTTGAGATAAGAGGAATTTGGATTTTTGTGTCTTTTATTGGCAATTTTTCTTAAACAATTTCAATAGATAAGGCCAAATGAAAATGATAAGAAAACTACTTTATGTGTACCTTACAGGCCTTTACTTAAGAATTTCCGTTGAAACCAATCAAACTTATTGGATCGAACTTTATCCTATCAATAGCTTTATCCGCGCGAAATAATGACAAATTATTTATGCAATATCATTGGCTGCAAAATCAAATCCATGGGTTTAATGCTATGCAATGGTCTACTACATATTTAAACACAAACACGCTTCAGATTAGAGTAGCACCATTTCCGAGCATGTGTACTATATCTGTTGTGATATATTGAATTGATGATTTACTGTAAGTGAAGCCTCCAAACACTGTAATTACAGCTAAATTGGAAAGGTTTTGCGGTACCTAAATTGCAAACTAGTTAAGGAACATCAAATATCATCTGGCCATTAGAACATGTTCCTAGCTCCGCGCATTAGTAAGCACATTAGGAGGTTGTCTTGGCATCCGGAATAAAGATACTTTTTGAATGACAAATAGAATTGTTAGTTCTATAGTCTGGAAATCAAATTTGAAGGTACATGGAAAAGAATACAATTCAATGCAACATTTAGATAAGCCCGGATATCAAAACGTAAGCCATGGTCTTTGTTTGAGAGATTAACGCCAGCCAATTGTTCCTACGGTATTGAATTGAGCTTGAATTATCTTAGATATTTTTTGGGGTGATGGGGACAACCCTTTTAGGCAGTTCATTCCGGTCCCATACTTAAGATTTTTTAAGAATGGAACATCTCTGTATTGATTCCACGTTTATTCGAAAGGGGTATTGCTAGATGAGAGTATAAACCCCTACTACAAACTCTAGGCTATCTAAAGTGAAGAGTAATTTTTTCTAAATTAACAAATTTTGGCAAGAATTATACTAAATTATTTTGTTAAAACCTTATTTGATTTTAAAACATAGCCGCATTTGCAACATAAGGGTCTTCTAAAAATTTAACATCCTCTTCAGTTAATTGAATAGTTGTAGCAGTTAAAATATCATCAACCCTGTCAACTGAAGAAAGACCAACAATTGGATTACACTTCTTACCAATAACCCAACTGGTAGCAAGAGCTGCCATACTAACATTATACTTCTTTGCTAAAGTTTGAATTCTTCCAATAATCTCTTCTTCAGGTTTGGTCAATTCATTAAGGTGTAATCGAGTGATACCTTTGTCCTTTATATCCCTTTTGTTTTCTGATTCTTTTCCAACCGGTCTTGCTAAAATACCTCTGGCAATAGGAGACCAAGGAATAATACCAACCTCTCCAAGTTCATTCTTTTGACAAAATGGAATCATCTCTCTTTCTTCTTCTCTATAGATCAAGTTATAATAATTCTGCATACTAATGAATTTATGCCAATTATTAGCATGTGCGATATATTGCAACTCGGCAAATTCTACTGCCTTCATCGAAGAAGCACCGATGTATCTTGCATATCCTTGATCAACAACATCATTTAATGCCTTCATAATCTCCTTCTTGGGTGTAGTTGGGTCAAGTCTATGGATCTGTAATACATCAATATATGTTCCCAATCTACGTTGACTATTTTGAACTGCATCAAAGATATGTTTTCGAGAAAGACCTTGAGAATTATAATAATCAATGGCAGGAAACTGGTTTTGGGTGAATAACCCGAAAGTAGGGTTTTCTTCATCAACTGGACCAAAACATTTACTCAAAATAACAACTCGATCACGAGGGATATTATATTTCTTAAGAA